TTCAGTGATGCTATCTAACCATCTCATCCTCTGCCATCCCCTTCTCCTTTTGCCTTCAATCTTTCCCAGCATCACATACTCTTCCTGTATGCAGTGATAAAAATAAGAATGTCCTCTCATTCTGGGAGGTTGTGCAGATAGACAAGAAAATGGGTTAGTGGCAAGGAAGAGGGCCATTGAGAATCATATCCCATGTCAGAATCCTCGCGACCACTCCTTCGCACGACTGCTTCGTTTGCTGCGGTTCTGCCATTCCAGCAGATGGCGGGGAGGTCAGAGCGAGGACTGCTGGGCGCTGATAAGCCATTTCCGAATCTTCCAGATCGATTAAGGGCATGGCAACGGAGGAAATCTGAGAGTCCCGACAACCTGTGCAGGACAGATTCGATGATCAAGGGGGGGGGGGGGGGGGAATGGGAGGACTTTAAATAGGGGTTTAGCACGTGGGGAATTTAGTTCCAGCTATTTCTTTGTGCCTTAGAGCTGTGTACTACTGTTTTTTCAATACATCTACTTGTCTCTGACCACTCATTGGTTTCGGTGAGAGTTGCATTCGTTGAGGACCGAGTACAGTGGTTCTTATATCCCATCTGGAATTATTGTTGTTCAGCTGCAGAGTTAGGACTGGGGAATAACAGGTCCAGATTCCTCCTTGACTTCTTGTAAAACTAGAGACATAGAATCAAAAAAGAAAATTTTTTGAGATTTGTCTACAGGTAAGACCCACTCTTGAAATGGAGTTAATCCAGATGGGCTGTTATCATTTTACTAAATTCTTGGATTTTTATTTTTCCCATAATTGTATTAAGGTTGCATCTTGTTTTTACTTGGCTGGATTGTATTTGCTATTTTGACAAGAAGTAAATAAATAGTCAATCAATCTGTTGTCCATAAGTGTGAGAATTTATACTTAAAGCTTGTCCATTGCAAAATATAGAGTAAACTAGACAACCTGTGACCCTTTGGGTCATCCTTTGAGAGAAAGGTAGTGCAGTCTGATGTGACCAGAATGAATATTAAATTTTAGGCTGACCGTGTATTTTTTTACCCCTATGCTGGACGGTCCTGTGATCATCTAAGGGTATATATCATAAATAGAAAAATAATTGTAGTGGCAAACAAACTTCAATAATAAGTCAATATTTCCTTAGCTGAACAGAAACAGAATGACTACAGTGGGAACAGGAGCGACTTCCAACTTCCTGCCAGCTTCCCCATTGACTTTGCTTGTGGGAAGCTCACGACCACATGACCACAGGGATGCTGCAACAGCCACAACTTTGTGAATAAACCTGCTCTGAACATCCTGGACATTTCAGTTCCACGGGAGTCATGGCCCTGGATTTTTTACACATTCTTTAAGTTAGTGAATTTTAGGTACCCTGATTCAAAAATTGTTGCGGTATAATGTACCATTTGGGCTAACTGGAAGGTACTAACAAACAGATAAACACAGTGAGCTTTTTTAAAAAGGTGAAACCTATCTAGAAAGGTGAAACATATCTAGCAGACATGTAAAGATTTTTAATGTCCATATTGATTGGTCAAGTGGAAAAACAACAAAAAAAGGTGTGGGAATCACATATCCCATTAAGTTAAAGGACCTTTAGTTTTGATTTAAAATGATGTTTGTAGTATATAAAATACAATTTATGCCCTAGTGGGGAAAGACTGTGTCCAGAGTAACATTATGCATGCTCTTCCCATTACTGAGGGGCTAACTATAGATGAGTATCTTCAAGGCACCTACCATGTCTTCTTCAGCTTCTTTATCCATGGTCCAGATCTGGACTATGTAGTCCTTTAAAATAGTGCCATGCTGGAAAAAGTACCTGCATTCGTTCCTATTTTTTTTTCTTCCTCATACACTGATTAAAGAGAAAAGCTTTCAAAGTTCCTTTCATAAGAGAAGATAATTTCGGTGAGACACTTGGGAGTGGAATTTGGCCAAAAGTGGGTGTGAAATTGCTGCCATTCTTATATAGTCATGTCACCGGAGGTTTACAGCAGTCCTTGAGTCTCACCATTCCATCAAATTCCATGGGAACCCATCTTCAGAATTCGCTTTTTGTCAGATTGGGAACTGTAGCCAGCCAAGAAAAGTTCAGCTGGGGGAAAGAGACATAATAGAAAGCAACATTACCAGCAACAAAACTCTCTCTCCCCTCCCACAGTAAAAGCAAGATCAAAAGTATCAGTAAGGGAAATATGAAAGAAATTTTCAAGCCGCCTCAGAATAAGAGAGAAGACCTGAAGCAGCTTTTGTCAGGAAGGAAGACTCCAGAGGAATTGCAAGGAAGATGTTGGCATGCTGTATTTCAAATAATGCAGGTGTGTAAATAGTCCAGAGTGGGGCTGTTTGGTGTCCTCCAGTACCACTTTTGCATCCCCCAGTATTCACAATATATGGGACTTTTGTTTTTTTGCAGGACGGGGGAAGAGTTTAATCCTTAAAATTCTCACCTCCCTTCTCCAAATAATTCCTACTCACGTTTGTGATGCAGTTCTTGACATGCCACAGAAAGCTTTGTGTGGCCCTTCAACTGATGGAAGTTGTACACCCCTGAGTCCATATCTGAATGCTCTGAATCAAGGACTCTTCGAAAGAGGATCGTCATCCCAAAAGCAGAACACATGGCCATCCTAAAGTGCAGAAAAAAATTCACAGATAAAAGCACTCCCTGAGACGTGCTAAGCTCTTAAGATACCAAACTTCCCAGCCTGAGGCTTCTGCTTAAATATTCTTGTCAGCTACCTGTCCAATTTTTTATTCCAAACTCCAAGAATTGCATTGCTGTCTTCTCATAGATGATAAGTCCTTCCAGTCTTCCATACTTCCAGTTAAAAGAAACTGCTTCCAATTAAAACCATGGAGGTTTTTGGAAACAGAAATCATCATGCCCTTTTCTTCCTTTTTCTGCAGGGTTACAGAAACATCTCAACACGAGAAAATAAAATACACAACGTGCTGCTTCAATTAAACAGAGCATATTCACAATCCCAAAAAGATAACACTAAATAGAGAATCTGTTGCATCAAATTAGCCTTGATTGCATTAACAGGAGACAGAAGAGAGAGAAAAGGGGAAATGGTAACACAGGCGGTTCAACACACAAACACAAAGAAAACATTTTCTGACATACTTGGGACAAACCAACAAAATAACAGAGCTGGCTCATATAGCAGGGATCATGGCGAACCCATGAGTTTATTCTACTAAAGATCAAAAAAGAGTTCCACATGGCCAACATATCCTTCACTGTCAGAATTAATGCACTCATTATAGCTATTGAGTTGCAAATGTTTAATTGGTCTCTCTTTAGCCTAATCTGGAGCCCTTAGGAGGGATGTGTTTGTGTGTGTGTGCACTGGTAACTTTCCCCC